CTGTGGCTGTGGGGAGGGGTATAGCCCTGGGCACAGCCCCTCTGCACAGCAACATGGACTCAGCCAGAGCTGTCAGCAGGTGACTGGCGTCCCTCTTTCTTCCTGCACAGGTCGCCATGAAGCACCCCTCAGCGGTGACGGCCTGCAACCTGGACCTGGAGAACCTGGTCACAGACTCGAACCGCAGCATTGCCACACTGGCCATCACCACCCTGCTCAAGACAGGCAGCGAGAGCAGCATCGACCGCCTCATGAAGCAGATCTCCTCCTTCATGTCCGAGATCTCAGATGAGTTCAAGGTGCCAACATGGCCCAGGCACCCACGGCCGGGATGGGAGCTGGGAGCCTGTGTGCCATGTCCACTGTGTCCACCCCCCTGACGGCCAGGACGCCGCTCGGCTGGAGGACTGGTGGCAGCTCATTGCTCTTGGGAGACCTCCAGCCCTGTGTCCTCGCTGTGCCTTTGTGCCCTGAGAACGGTAGCTTCTGGCCAGCAGGATGTGCTCATCTGAGTGTTTAGGGAGCGCTTGCTGTGTACCCTGGGGCTTTAGGAGAGGGCAACCTCTGTGAGGCAGCTGCCTTCCCGCAAGCCAGGGCACAGAGGTGTTGTCAGTGGCTGTCGAGTGGATGCAGGGAACCAGGCCCAGGGAGATAGGAGAACAGACAGGAGCAAGTTTGCTGTGAACGTCTGAGAGGGCCAGCGAGGGGGCTGGCAGCTATGGGGCAAGTACAGGTCGGAGGTCAGGTTGATGGGTCCCGTAGGGCCTCGTGGGTCACGAAGTTTCAGTCCTAAGGAAGACATGGGAGAGGAGGAAATTTTTGGTGTGTCCTGGTGGTACTTCTGCAGTAGCTCGAGGGTGTAAGGGAACAGGCTGTGAAGTCCCTTGTCCCCTCCATCAGCTCCCTCCCCCATTGCCAGTGTCTCACAAGCACAGCACAGGGTCAGCTAAGATGGTACCTAGGCACAGTGCTAGGTCTTACCCAGACTCCCCCGTTACACAAACGCGTGTGTGCCTGTGTGCATGCATGAAGCACCATGCAGCTGGTCACGCGCAGCGTCAAAGCTGCCCCACAGTGGAGACGGCTGTCCTGTCACCTGCAACTCGGCCTGGGCCAGGCTGTGCCAGTTTCTCTGATGTGTTCCCAGTTGTGCTGTGGTGGCCCAGGAAGCCATGTGCACAGAGGTGTGACCAGAGCACACAGGGCCCCGGGGCTGCAGCAGGGCACGTGGACACATGGTGTGGGGGAAGTGGAGGTCACTGCCCGTGGGAGTAAGGATACAGCAAGATGTGTGTGGGGCAGCGTAGAGGCTGGCCCAGTGCAGGGCTCACGGGTTCAGGAGACGACGGTGCCTAGCCCACACATGGGAGCTAGAGAGGCAGCACCTGCAGTGGGGCACTCTGAGGACTGCAGGTGGTTGGCAGGTTTCGGCTCAAGGTTTGGGGGTGAATTTTTTTTTTTTTTAAAGAATTATTGATTGGTTGGAGAGGTTTTTGTTATAGGGTGCATGTGCTAGCTAGAAAGAGACAGAAAGTGAGGAATCACTCCCCAGGGTGGATGGCCACGCCGCAATATCTTCATTCTCCTCTGGATCTTTGGCGCGCGCGCGCGCACACACACACACACACACACGCACACACACACACGCATGTGCCTGGCGTGAGTTTAAGCCACTGGGTCCAGGACTTGAACTGCGGTCAACTACATGGGAGTCCAGCGACAAAGCCATTATGCCAACTGCTGGTCCCTTGATTTTAATTTTTTTAATTTGGAGAGAAAGAGAAAGCAAGCTGCCAGGTCCAGGAATTGAACCATGGTCAGCTGTGTGGTAGTCCAGTGCCTTAACTACCACATCACCTGCTGGCCCCTTCGCCAAGATTTCTGCTTTGTGTTGGTGGTGGTGCCACTGACAGTGGAAGGAGGGGGTCCGGTCTTGGGGGAACGAGGGGAAGGCAATGATGCAATGGTAGAGGCTGCGCGTGAGCGGCCTGCGGGCAGCAGGTGGGCTTGCCAGGTAGACAGCACCGAAGAAGAGGTCGAAGTGGGAGGAGGTGAGAGGGCCAAAGACGGAACACCCAGAGGCAGGCTAGAAACAGGAGCCTGAGGAGCAGGACAGGCCAGGTGGGGAGGGCTAGAAACCTTCCTGAGGTCTGAGCAGAGAGACTGTCTTCCGCGGACCTGGAGTCTGGCTTCCGAGCCCAGGGTGGGGCTTCTCTAATCTTGCTCCCCGGTGAAGGCCAGGGCCTGGCCTAGCCTAGAGGGACTCAGTGGCTCCTAGTGGACTGAGTCACTTGAGCAGGCAGGGCTGTGACTCACATATCTTTGACCAGGTGGTGGTCGTCCAGGCCATCAGTGCCCTGTGTCAGAAGTACCCACGCAAGCACGCCGTCCTCATGAACTTCCTGTTCACCATGCTACGGGAGGAGGTAAGTGCAGGGCCTTGGGTATGCAAGTCTCCTGGTGCATGGAGTGACCTGGCTGCAGGCTCCACAGTGAGCCTCACGGCCATGCTCAGGTCAGACCTGTTCACCAGCCGGTGTCCCTGGAGCCTGCAGCCCTTTAAGCTCCCGTGGACAGACCGTTAGTAATTAGTAACCGCTGCCTTTGCAGGTAGCCCTGGGGCAATGTTTGTGCAGCAGGAGGGAGATCTTGGGAGTCCAGGGCAGTCCTGGGGCCCAGGGGCTGTCCTAGTGCGACACAGGTTCTGCTGCTGCTCCCAATGTCAGGTTTGGACTCGTGCCACTGGAGTTCAGAGGAGCAGTGGCAGGGGTCCAAAGAGTGGGTTAGGTGCCCAGAGCAGCTTGGCCACTCCATGGTAGAGAAGGTGTTGCCCTGGCATCTTCGGAGAGAGGAGGGTTCCAGTGCTTGGCGAGCCTTTGCTGTCGGGCCTGCACACCTGCCGCCCCATGCAACATCCACGCTCTTCAGTCCTGATGGGCCTCGTCACTACGCCTTGTTTTCCGCCTTTAACAATCAGTGATTCAAGAGCCAACAGGTAGCATGGAGGTTAAGACAGTGGATCCCACATGGCCAATTGCCTGGTTCAAGTCCCGGACTTGGCAACTTGAAAATCACACTGGGTATGTATACATGCCTCCCCAAAACCCTGAGAGGAAAATGGAGAAGAGATTACAGCATGACCATCACCCCCGGGAAGTTACTTCTCACTTTCCCTCTCTCTTGCTCTGCCTGGCAAGCACATGCACCCTGTAGGAAAAAGTAAAAAAAAAAAAAAAAATCAGTGATCTGAGATGCAGAGAGAGCCACTGCCTGTGTAACCTGGTCAGTGTCTGAGGTAGAGCAGAACCCAGGCTCTCTGGCTTCTCAGATCAAGCACATTTTCACCCAGCTGTCCGGGCGACACCTGCCCTTGTTATGCCACGGCAGGCTGACACCTTGTCCCCAGGTGCCTGTGCTGCTGCAGACGTGCCGCGCAGGTGCTCAGAGCCTTGCTGTACTGACGGGCCTCGCTGGCCAGCTGTGCAGTGGGTCCTGCGAGTAGTGACTGAGCGTTCAGCGTGCCCAGAACAGCTCTAGGCTGTGAGCACCCCACACGCACACCACCTCTCCCTCTTCTTGAGGACAGCCTGCAGGGTCCTGGCAGGGACAGCGACCTCCCCAGACCTGAGTGGAGCTGTAACACACTAGTCTTATTTGGATCTTACAAAGTGGCTTTTTTGTTCTTTTGTTTTTTTTTAGAGAGAGTTTTGCTAGAGGGTGCATGTGCTCACTGGAGAGACAAAAACAGTGAAAGTGAGAAATCATCCCCCCAGGGGAATAGCCGTGCAGTCACCTCTCCTCTGTTCTCGGGATTCGGGGCACACGTGCACGTGAACCTGGCTTTTAAACCACCAGATCTGGGATTCAAACCATGGTCAGCCATGCGGGAGTCCAGCTCCTTAACCACTGTGACACTTGGCTGGCCTCCCCCGAGATTTTTGCTGTAGGGTGCATGTGCTTGCTGGAGAGACAGAGAGACAAAGCGAGAAATGGCTACACCACATTCCCTTCTCTGTTCTCTTAGGGCTTGGGGCACACACGCACGTGTGCCTGATGTGTTTTAAGCCACTGGATCTGGGACCCGAACCGCGGTCAGCCGTATGGGAGTCTAGCACCTTAACCACTACACCGACTGCTGGCTCAAAGTTACTATTTTTAACGTTTTGCCGGAGGCAGTGTGTGCTCACAGTCCCTTCTCTGTCTCCCTTGCACCCCGTGTATTGTGCAAACTGTGGGCTTAGAGCACAAGCACAGGGGAACCACGTGGGGTCCAGGTGCCTCACCCACCCGGCCACTGGCTGGCCTGGACTGTATGGCATTTTAACCGTTCTCACTTCGTAGCCCGCAGTTAAGTCAGGAAGTTTTATAAATTAGAAACCCACCACCATGGAGTTCATGTTTCTCTTGAAAAGCTTCGTATCAGACTGAGTAGGGACTCGCCTCCGAGGGCAGGCACCACGGCGCCCTGCTCTGTCGGCAGGGCAGACTCACCTGGACTCCCGTTACCACGGGACTGCTCTGAGGTCCCTGCACACTGCCACGCCCCACGCGCTCCCGTGTCCCCTGCTTATTGTCATTGCTGTCATCCATCTCCAGGACTTGATCGCAGAACTGAAACTCTGTCCCCACAGCCCCGGAGCACCGCTCTCTCACCCTGCCTGTGGGTCTTACTGCTCCAGATCAGTCATGGCAGTGGGTCGTACATGACCATTCCTCCCGTGCCTGGCATGTCTCACTCGGCAGTGTCCCATGGCAGTGGGGTCAAACGTGAGTGGCCCCCTGAGCCTGGCATGTCTGACTAGGCAGTGTGCTCTGCATTCATCCCTGTTGTAGCTTGCTCAGCATTCCCTTTTTGAGCTGGGTGTATGTAGAGACCACATCGTGGTCCACTCCCCTGTGGGTAGACACTGGGGCTGCTTCCAAGTTTTCGCTGCTGTGAGCGACGCTGCCTTGGAGGGCACAGGTTACTGCTCAGTCCCCTGCATTCAGCTCTTGCGCTCATTTACCCACATGGAATGCTGGATTGTAGAGTTCTGTGTTTAATTTTTGAAGAAGCACCATACTTTTTCCTCGTGGCTAAGTCACCCATGTTATCACTCGTTTTATCTTTTTACCTCATTTTTTTCTTGTTTCTGCCAGAGGGCACATGCACTCATCAAGGTCAGGGAGAGAGCAGGGGTGGGGGGCAGAGCGCCTCCTGGTGGAGCAAGGCCTGCATGCCCTTCTCTTTGTGTCTTCATCCTGTCAAGATGCAGGGCCTACGTGCACATGTCAAGCCCCTGGGGCTGGTATTTGAACCCCAGTTGTCCAGCTCCTGTAGGCCATGGGCCAGCCCTGCCTTTTGTCTCATCACAGCTGGAAAGAAAAGTAGGATATAAAATGTCCCATTAAACCATCTGCTGTCAGAGCAATGAGGCCTCAGCAGTGTTCAGTTGGAGTTTTCTGTTTCACGGGGAGAAGAGCCATGTGTCTGGGCCATGTCCCTGGCTGTACGCCTTGCCCCCTTCTGAGGGGAGAGACTCCTTGCTTAGCTGACCTCCCCACAGGGCGGCTTCGAGTACAAGCGTGCCATTGTGGACTGCATCATCAGTATTATCGAGGAGAACTCGGACAGCAAGGAGACGGGGCTGTCACACCTGTGCGAGTTCATCGAGGACTGTGAGTTCACGGTGCTGGCCACACGCATCCTGCACCTCCTCGGCCAGGAGGGGCCCAAGACCAACAACCCCTCTAAGTACATCCGCTTCATCTACAACCGTGTGGTTCTGGAGCACGAGGAGGTCCGTGCAGGTAGGTCTGAGCCAGTGCAGCCTGGCTGTCCCAGCAGAGGGACCTGGGCCCCAGTGGGGTGTGCTCATGAGGCCTTGCCTCCAGCTGTTTGCGGGCTATCACAGAAGGACACAGAAATGCCCTCTAGGTGTCACTATAGCTTGGTGTTCAGGTTTTTATTTTAGGGAGACTTGGAATAGGGCGTGTGTACTCATGGGTGAGACAGAGAGGAAGTGAGAAATCACCCCCCGGGGAGTATGGCCGTTGCCACAATCCCTTACCCTCCTCTCTCCTCTCAGGATTTTGGACGTGCATGCACATATGCCTGGTGTGAGTTTCGTTCTTCCAGGTCCGGGACTCCAGTCACGGTTGACCACATGGGAACCCAGTGCCTTCAGTACTGCGCAGCCACTGTGCTGGCCCTGTTCTGTGTGTTTTTAGTAGCAGCTTTGTTGAAGTGTGCTTGCCCACATGCTACAAAGTGCCTTTCTCCGTAACAATTCAGTGAGCAACCACACTATTCTGCCTTTTTTTTTTTTTTCTGTATAAGGCCAGTGCACTTGCCAAAGAAAGAAGAGGAGGGAGAGAGCCTCCCCCGGGGGATAAGCATGCTGCAGTCCCCTCCACTCTTCCCTCTGGATTTCTGACCTTGCACATGTATACCTGGCATCTTTTGCCTGCCCACAGTTCTGGGACTTGAACCACACAGTTGACCACATGGGATCCACCTGCCTTGACCTCCGTGCCCTCTGCTGGCCTCACTTTTCTTTTTTGGATTGCTGCAGGGCCTGTGTACTCACTAGAGAGTGGGAGGAGAAAACACCCCTCAGTGGTTGGTCAGCTATAATCCCTTCTCCATTTTCCCCTGTCGGGACATGCATGTTTCAGACCCCTGGGCCTACATTTGAACTGCAGTCAGCCATATGAGAGCTGGCTCCCTTGACCCCTAGGTTACAGGGCCAGCTCACTGTATTTCTCAGTTCTGCTCTCTTCATGTTTTTCTTGGACAGATTTTCTTTTTCGAGGAATCGGTGTGCATCAAGTAACATTTGTGTCCTCGTGTTAATCGAAGGTTGAGCTGTGGATTGAGGCCGTTGAACAGAGCAGAGGGGCCTGTTGTGGCTGCCTCTGTGGCCTCACAGTCATTAGCGAATAGCTTCTGGAACCCCAGGAGCCTGCCCCTTTGGGGTTTGGTCCCTTATCCCCTGACTAGACAGGGGAGTCCGGCCCGGCCGGCGCCAAGACCCCTGGAGTCGCTCATTGTGCTGATGGTGACCTTGGGCCTCCTGGCCCAAGACCTCTAGTCTCTGGGGCTCTGCTGCTTGAAGACCCACTCTGCGCACTGGAAGGGGCCACACAGCGAGTGGGCAGGTCACCAGGTGAGCCCTGCTTCTCCATTACAGGCGCTGTGAGTGCACTGGCCAAGTTTGGAGCCCAGAATGAGGAGATGCTGCCCAGCATCTTGGTGCTGCTGCGGAGGTGTGTGCAAGTGAGGCCCGTCTTGTCCCAGGGCTCCCGCCAGGGGCACCCACTGTCACTGACCGGGGAGGGAGAGTGCAGAGCTGCCCGTCATAGGGAGGGTGCATCAGGAGGTCACGGCTAGACCCATGGGTAGCTTTTCACAGTAGCTCTTTCCCATGGACTTTTTTTTTTTTTTTGGGGGGGTTTTGCCTGTAGGGGGGGTGCGCTCACTGGACAGAGACAGAGAGATATCGCCCTCCAGAGGGGATGGCCACGCCGCAGTCCCTTCTCCTCCATTCTCCTCTCGGGATCTTGGGCATGCACGCACACATGCCCGGCGTGAGTTTAAGCAACTGGGTCCGGAACTTGAACCATGGTCGGCTATGTGGGAGTCCAGTGACATAGCCATTACGCTAACTGCTGGTCCCTCCTGTGGACTTTTTGACGGTCCCTTGTAGGAAGCACAGAAGATCATGAAAACTGTGATCATGTAAAATCCCACCACCTAGACATGGCCATCGTTAACACGCCCATTTTAAAAAGCGGCTTTATTGACCAGTAATTGGCAGGCTATGTACGTCGCCTGCTGAGAGCAGGTAGCCCCCCACGATGTGAAGCCACCACCGCAGTCCAGTCGACTTCTGGCACCCTGAAAAAGGTTCCCGTGCCCATTGCAGTCCTCGCCCGCCCAACCGTCCCCGACCCCAGCCCACCAGGCTACTTGTCCTGTCTGGAGTTGGCTCAGCCAGTCAGGTGTGCCAGCGCTGGACCCCGCGGCACCAGGCCTTGGGATGAGGCTTCACGTGTCCTGGAGCGCCTCAGTGCTGTACTGCGTGCCTATGCTACGCCCTTTTGTTTGGGTTTTTGCTGTAGAACAGGTGTACTCTCCAGAGAGAGAGGGAAAGTGAGAAATCACCACGAGGGGCCAGCCATGCCGTAGTCCCTTCTCCTCTGTTCTCTTACGATTTTGGGCATGCATTCTCACGTGCCTGACGTGATTTTCAAGCCTCTGGGCCCGGGACTCGAGCTGCCGTCATGTGGGAGTCCAGAGCCTTAGCCTCTACGCCTCCTGCTCGCCATTATTTCCAAGTTTATTTCACGCATGAAAGAACGTGCATGTGTGAGGAGGGAAGAGGGAGACCGACATGCAGGCACCCTCAGCAGTGTTTCCCTGTGCCCTGATCCTCAGCTCCCAGGGTCTTGGGCGTGTGTGTGGCCAGGTGCTTACAGCTCCGCAGTTGAGTATGCTGCTAAGCCGCCGAGGCTGAGCCCTCTGCATTTGGATCCTCATCTGAGAGGCACCCGGTGCCATTCCTGCAGACTGAGCTCTCAGAGCCAGACCTGCTCCCCACCCCTGCTGAAGTAGCCCTGCAGGGTCCTTCCTGCCACTCCTCCGAGGTCCCATTGGAGCCTTTGTGTCCGGGCTGCAGGTGCGTGATGGACGATGACAATGAAGTCCGGGACCGGGCCACCTTCTATCTCAGCGTGCTGGAGCAGAGGCAGAAGGCTCTGAACGCAGGCTACATCCTCAACGGTGAGCCTCCTCGCCGTCTCCCACAGGCTCTTGCTGACACTGTGGCTTCTCACCTCCCTGGAGGGGAGACAGGCCAGACTGTGTCGGGTCACTGCCCTCGGGAGGGCTTCCATTCACAGTGTCGGGTCACTGCCCTTGGGAGGGCTTCCGTTCAGAGCTGTGCCCTGGCAAGTCACTCCGTTGTCTCGTTTCCTCACAGACCAGCCCTGCCCAGAGGGTGTGGACGGGGAAGCAGAGGCTCAGCGAGGCTGTCCCAGCAGATTCATTGTTGGGCTCAGGCTGCCGTGGGTTCTTGGCCTGGGTCCCCGGCATGACTCCTGGAGTGACTGCTTTTCTTCCAACCTAGGTCTGACTGTGTCCATCCCTGGCCTGGAGAGGGCGTTGCAGCAGTATACTCTAGAACCTTCAGAAAAGCCCTTTGACCTCAAGTCTGTGCCCCTGGCCACCGCGCCTGTGGCAGAGCAGAGACCAGGTAAGCCCAGCTCCTCCCAGAGGCCTGGGCTCCAGCCCCCAGAGGGCCTGCATGGCTGCAAGCCTCCAGCCCACCAATATGGGAGGGACTGGCCAGGGGGGAGGACTCTTTCCACTCCTGGCTCCAGGACAGAGATCTCTCAGGTGCTGACGCGCATGCGTGCAAAGGTTGGATTTATGGTCCTGCATGATGGCGCTGGGGCCAACACTGCCTTCCAGGGTGAAGCTGTTGGTCGCCGGGTCTGACGCCACGCCTTTGCCTCTGCAGAGAACACACCCGTTGCAGCAGCCAGGCAGCCTGAGAAGGTGGCCACCACCCGGCAGGAGATCTTCCAGGGTGAGTGTGGTGCTGGGCAGAGGACACCTGGGACTGGGCCACTGGCTCGGGTTATGCAGAAGGGCTGGTGTTTGCTGGGTACCCCTGAGTGCCAGGCCCTGCGAGTGCCCCACGCCGACCGCAATAGTCCCCGTATTGCGGTTACCACGGCCAGTCTGCGTCTAACGCGGTCCATGTACCACCTGGGGCAGGCCCGCCCTTTGGCCCAGCGTGTGCACACCACGTACAGGGCTCCTGTCCTTACCTTGTAGCTCTCCGGGTTCTCAGAGTGGAAATGTAGTACAGAGAGGGCTTGGCTTTGGGCACCTGCTGTGGGCCTTGGAATGTACCCACAGTTAAGGGGGTGTCGATCACATTCGACCCTCAGGTGGAGGTCCCTGGGTCCCCTGGTATCTGGGGAGGGGCTGCCATGCACCTCTGGAGCCTAGGCCACTTCAGGGTGTCTGAGTGCACTCTGCTGCTTGCTGAATCTCACGTGTTAGTCCACGCTATCACGTAGGCTCAGTGTGCACATCCACCCGTCCATCCCTCTAGCCTGGCTTTTTTAAAAATCACTTACTTTATTCTATCTATCTATCTATTATTATTATTATTATTTTTGTAACTTGCTATAGGGCATTTTTGCTCACCAGAGATGGGAGGAGTGAGAAGGCAAGCTGCCAGGTCTGGGACTTGAACTATGGTTGGCTCTGTGGGAGTCCAGCACCTTAACCCCCATACCACCTGATGGCCTCCCAACCTTGCATCTTGAAGGGAAAGGCTGTACTTCTAGTTTTCTGCCAAGGTCTACGTGGAGGTCTGGCATGGACTCCCCTCTTGTGGGAAGCCTACGCCCTGCCTCCTGAACTGACTGTTCTACCTGCTCTCCTCTACCTTGTCCGTCTTCTCTTTATTCGTGAGAGAGCTGTGTGCATGGACATGAGAGAGAGAAGAGGGCCAGCAGGTGGTGTGGGGGTTAAGGTGCTGGATTCCGCATGGCTAACTGTGCAGTTCACGTCCTGGACCAGTGGCTTGAAAAGTCACACTGGGTGGGACCAGCAGATGGCATAATGGTTATGTCACTGGACTTCCACATAGTCAACAGCAGTTCGAGTCCTAGACCCATCCACTTAAAACTCACGCTGGGTGCATGTGGATACATGCCCAAAATCCCTAGAGGAGAATGAAGGAAAGGGGATTGTGGCATGGCCTTCCCCTCCAGGGGATGATTTCTTGCTTCCTGTCTGTCTGTCTCTCCGGTGAGTGCACACTCCAGATAGCAAAAATCTCTCTTAAAAAAATATACAAGTGGGAACCAGCAGTTAGCGCAATGGCTATGTTCCTGGACTCCCACGTAGTTGACCGTGGTTTGCGTCCTGGACCCGGTGGCTTAAAACTCAAGCCAGGCGCGTGTGCATGCATGTCCAAGATCCTGAGAGGAGAATGGAGGAGAAGGGATTGCGGTGTGACTATCCCCCCGGGGGGTAATTTCTCACTTTCTGTCTCTATGTCTCTCTCTGTCTGGTGAGTGCACACACCCTATAGCGAAAAAAACCTCTCAAAAAATATATATATATATGTACAAGTCACACTGGGCACACGCGCACATGTGTCCAGAGCCCCGCGAGGAGAAGGAGGCCTGGCTGCGCCCCTCGCAGTCCTGAGTGTGCTGGGCTTCTTGGTGTCCATGGCAGTGCATGTGCACGTGTGTCCAGAGCCCCATGAGGAGGAGGAGGCCTGGCTGCGCCCCTCGCAGTCCTGAGTGTGCTGGGCTTCTTGGTGTCCATGGCAGTGCATGTGCACGTGTGTCCAGAGCCCCGTGAGGAGGAGGAGGCCTGGCTGTGCCCCTCGCAGTCCTGAGCGTGTGGGCTTCTCGGTGTCTGTGGCAGTACCCTGCCTACCTCCCTTCCAGGGCTCCCAGCTGCCATGAGCTGGAACCACCTTCCCACCCCGTCTCTGGGCCGTGCCTGTCGACATGGTACTACCCAGGTTTAGAAGAGACTCCTGAGCTGCCTGGGACCCCCAGCTGGAGGCTCTCTGTCCTTGTCAGAGGAAGGCTGTGCTCGCTAGAGACAGGGCAGGGGAAAGCACCCTGTGGCCATGCTGCAGCCCTCCATGTGTCCACCCCGTCGGGATGTGGGGCACACACTCAGTGTGCTTTTCAAGCTATTGAGACAGGATTCATGGCTGGTCATGTAGGGTCTGGCTCCTATAACCATAAGGCCAGCCCCAAAACCACAGCTTTGTGCCCTGTGCCAGTGGCTGTTGCTGTGTGACACATACCCACACTTTTGGTGGCTGGTCACGGTGCACTGTCACCTGTGGTTCTAGATCAGAGGTCCCACATGGGTTTGCTGAGTAGGCAGTGCTGAGCCCCCTCTGGGGCACCGCCTCCTTGTCCTCCAGCTTCTAGAGTGGCCAGTGTTCCTTGGTCCACCACCCCCTCTGTCCTCAAAGCCAGTGTGAGCCTCTGAGTCTCGCCTGCTCTGCCCTCTGTCTCTCAATGACCCTCGTGGTTCCCCTGGGCCACGCAGATAACGCAGACTGATTCTGCATCTCAAGGTCTTAGCTTCATCACATCTGTTCAGTGTGAGTTTACCACGGAAGGGACACAACCACAGGTTCTGGGATTAGCTTCCTACGCTGTGCAGGAGGCTTTCAGTTCCATTAGTTTTTCCAAACCCTAACACACGTCGATCTCACGCCGGGTTCCAAGACCTTTGCCAGGTGCAGACATGTGTGCCTCCCTTGGCTTCACAGTGACCCCAGATCAAGGTTACGGTATGTGTACTGATGGAGCATCGGTGTGCAGAGGCACGGACTCATGGCTGCTGGCTCAGTGCCCAGCAGCATCAGGACCAAAGAGGGAACCCACCATCGGAGAGCACCCTGGTGGCTAGTGGCTGTGCTGGTCCATGTGCCCTATGGCAAACCTTTAAAAAAAAGTCCTTGCTGGACCTCTGAAATTGAGGCTCAGATGAGGTTAGTCTAGGATAGTGAGGTCTTGTCACATAGGTGCTTCCGAGGTCTGTGGTTTTTTGTTTTTTTCTTTTGTTTATTTTTTTGTTTTTGAGAGGGTTTTGTGCTACAGGGCACTTATGCTCAACAGAAAGACAGAGACAGAAAGCAAAAAATCACCCCCCAGGGGAGATGGCCACGCTGCAATCCTTTCTCCATTCTCTTCTCGGGATCTTGGGCACACACACATACATGTGCCTGGTGTGAGTTTTAAGCCACCGGGTCTCGGACTCAACCCACAGTCGACTACGTGGGACTCCAGCGACATAGCCATTATGCCAACTGCTGGTCCCACCTCCAAGGTCTTTCAAAGGATGGAGGTGGGGAGAGTGTTCCTGGGGCATACACATGACCATCAGGAGGTGACATGCACAGGTGTGTTCGGGGGAGCGAGCAGCCAGCGTGTGGGCGTGCACCATCTCAGCCAGCACAGAAGGCCGCGAGCAGTGAGTGTTTCCTGGTATAGGGATCAGGAAGCTAATGGATGTGGTCTGTGGGTTCCAGAGCAGTTGGCGGCAGTGCCGGAGTTCTGTGGGCTGGGGCCCCTCTTCAAGTCCTCACCTGAGCCTGTGGCCCTCACTGAGTCAGAGACGGAGTATGTCATCCACTGCACCAAACACACCTTCACTGACCACATGGTGTTCCAGGTGAGCAGGGTGTGTCCAGGGCATGGCCCCGGGTCTCAGGAGTCCAGTCGTGAGTCGGTGGGGAGCCTGTCGATGACAGGGTCTGTCACCAGCAGGCCTTTCTGGCTCCTGGGTTAGCACAGAGACAGGGAGTCTGGATGGAGGCAGCTGGGCCCACAGGAGAGGCAGGACCTGCCCGTTCTTCCCCCACAGCACCACTCAGACCTCAAGCGGGTCTAAGCTTCCTCTCCTCCCCGGTCCAGTTTGACTGCACAAACACACTCAACGACCAGACCCTAGAGAACGTCACCGTGCAGATGGAGCCCACAGAGGCCTACGAGGTGCTCTGCTGTGTGCCTGCCCGGAGCCTGCCCTACAACCAGCCTGGGACCTGCTACACACTGGTGGCACTGCCCAAGGATGACCCCACAGCTGGTGAGTCCTCCAGATACTACCCTGGCCTCACAAGGGCACCTGGGCCAGCCTCTCTTAGTGCCTCGATTTCCATCCTGAGAACAGAAACAGCAACACTGACTGAGCACTTTCCTTGCATTGTCTTGCTTCATCCTTGGAGCAAACCTGGGGGTAAGCACTGCTATCTCTGTTTGTAGATGAGGAAACTGAGACTCAGGTGCAGACATTTGCCCATGTTCACATGACTCAGAACGCCCAGAGAGGCACATGCACTCAGGCGTCCCAAATCTGCCTCTCTCAGCAAAACCAGCAGCTGCATTTACCAGCCCTTAGAGTGGCCGTGGCTGTTAGTGGACGCAGTTGCTCTGCACCACCTCTCTGTGTTCTGTCTCCCCTGTGGACGTGGGACTTGCCTCTGGTCCCCTAAGGTGGCGTCTGTCTGGCCTCTTGGAACGGGGTAGTGGTGCTGCTACCAAAACCGTAGCCGAGGCCTAGAGCGGGTGGGGGCCACCCACCTGATGAGGAGCGTGTGTCCTGTGGACCAGGGCATCCTGACCACAACCTTCCCTCTGCACAGTGGCCTGCACGTTTAGCTGCATGATGAAGTTCACTGTCAAGGACTGCGACCCCACCACCGGGGAGACCGATGACGAAGGCTACGAGGATGAGTACGTGGTAAGAGCCAGAGCCAGTGCTCAGGGCGGCGCTCGGGCCCTGCCCTGCCCAGAGTGGGCAGCCAGACTGGACCTGCTCACTTTCGGTCTTACGGCCACCCTCCAAGGAGCTTTGGGCTCAGTGTATTTCTTTCCTCCACGAGTGAGTCCCTAACAGGCCTGACGCTGTGACCCACCACCTTCAGCTTGGCCCGGATCATGGGCACATATGGGCCAGCCACAGAGCATCCCGCGTTACTCCTGCACCACTCTCGGCCCTAAAAGCTTCCTTTTTTTTGAGAGATTTTCGCTATAGGGCGTGTGCACTCGCCAGACAGACAGAGACATAGAGACAGAAAGCGAGAAATCACCCCCCCAGGGAGGATGGTCACACCGCAATCCCTTCTCCTCCATTCTC